GCTCTTCTATACAAGCTAGTAGCACCCCAAATCAAATGTGGCTAGCGTAGGAGTGATGTTCTCTACAGAGAAATCACCGTGCTTTGTATTGGTGCGATCGAAGGATTGCCTTCCACTGAATGGAGCCGGTGACTATTTACAAAATCGAATGCGACAATTGCACTAAGGGTAAAGTAAGACAGATAACCAGAAAGCTTCACACCAGACTCGGTGCGCACAAGAGAAAATGAACAGAACAGCAGAAGATATTGAACACTGTTCAACGACTCATCATTGGTTGAACAGGCACCAAATGCGTGACAAAACTCGGATTAATATTCTAAATTCTTGAGGCGGAGACTATGATCCACGTAACACCAATTGTGTGTCGTAACAATCAAATTCACAAAAATTTAGTGTAAACAGAAAAGGTGTAGAACTAGCAAGCGTTGACTCGTGGTTATATTCGGTTTTCAACGGAGAGGGTCCCTTACGTTGTTTTGATCTGAATTGCTGACGGAAATCCGAATGGGCAGTTTATATCGCTTACCAACCAAAATTTGTGAACGTTATCCAATAAGAATCATCAACTGAAGTGTCCTGCGCAGTTCACAGTTCAATTCTAACTCCCTCAAAGAAACATCAGTTGTAAAACTTACATTCAACACTAATTTGGTTTTCTCATCTGGAGCTGTCTCGCTAATTGGCTGTTTGTCTGCTTTACAGACAATCAGTCTGTTAATTTGCTCACCTGACCTGCGTCAAAGGCCAAGCGTTAACCATTGTCAGACTCTTCTTAATTAAGTCTTCCAGTTTCATAAGACATTTAAATGTCAAGTTCCAGAGAGGAGGAGGAGGAGAGCAATTTAAGTAGACGATAACTCCAGCCTTCAATTTCACCGGAATTCTTCTCAAACTGCACTACAGTGGTCAAATTACGGCCTCGGAGTATCCTGTTCAGAGAACCAATATGTGAACATGGTGATTAATTGTTATCAAATGTTTATCAACTCACCTGCGATCGAGGTGACAAATACATATCGGAATTCTATAGAGGAAAATGTTGGTAGCTCAGGTATCGTAGATTGTGGTCTTTGGCTTGTTCGCTGAGCTGGGCAATTTGATTGCAAACGTTTCATCACCAATCGAGGTGACATCATCAGTGCGTAGTTGTGCGTAGCGGTGGGTTAGTGCGTAGCGCTACGCACTACTACGCTCCACAATAACGTACTGATGATGTCACCTCGATTGGTGATGAAACGTTTGCAATCAAATTGCCCAGCTCAGCGAACAAGCCAAAATATCGGAATGTTAGAGACAACTAGGTCAGAAATTTATTTTAGTGAAGCCCTGAAAGCTGCAGTCAACTGTGCCGAAAGACTTGAGGCATATGGCTGCATCAGAGGAAAACAGTGATACATTCGGGTCATTTTGTCCATTTCGATAAAACTGCAGAGCTCAGTTACAATCTAACACTCCACTTTGTCGACTTGGCTGCTGAATACGTTGACCGGATCCTATGAGCTCGATGGCTTTTCGGTATCAGTTTGCGGTCCCTTTTGGTTAGTCGGTTGGTAGAAATTGCCCGTGTAATCGTCAGTTGGATACCATTCACGTAGTGCAACTATCATGGAAAACCGCTCCATCGAAACTGTGGGTTTGGAAGGAGGTCAAATCCGTGAGTTGCGACTTAGTTGTTAGGTCGAAACAGCTTGTCAGACTTACATAGAAATCCGACATGTCGTGCACTGCACAAGTGCTTCCGTCTTGCTAGCTCATCGGATGGATTAGTCCTCAATCCTTGGACACGAGCGTGAACTATTTCCGTTACACAGGAAGCGGAAGTGGTTGATCGTGACTAACTAATCTATTGGACGCTCCGTCTTATTTGAAACTCGCCAGATTGGATTCGCTCGCCCCAATGTTCACGCTCAAAGTTGACATTCTTACCTCCAACAACACAGCAGCCGATTTTATCTGTCTATAGCGAATGTGAATTCAATGGGTTTTTTCGATTTAGTCGACGTTTTGATTTCCTTAAGTTTTTAATTATTCAGGGTCGGCGGTGTGCTAGGTTTGCTTATGATTTTTATCTGAATGCAAGTAGCGTTTATGTCGATCTGGATGGTCAAGTTTGGATGCACTACACCCTCTCAACCACCGTCCATGCGCCTTGTAGGGCACTTTTTTTCGGCTGTTTGTTAGTTTTAAAATCTTTTGGCAAGTTGAATTCAACGAACCAATTCATCTGACGTAGCAATCAGGATGTACGACAAGCAGGATTGATCACCGTCCTTCTTCTAGAGACGAGGGCACTGGTAAAAGAATCGGTGTTTTAGGTAATATGTGTTACTTGAAAGTCTAGGCAGTGAACTTTTATTTACTTGATTTCCATCCCCAAACGGTTCTTTCAGAATTGGCCTTTGGGTTACAACATAACACAGAAATAGTTTGGCTATGTCTTCAGGGTTCAAGGAGTGACATGTCTTGACATCCAGTTCAGATTGCACCGTGCGATAATCCCTAATCGTCGAATTTGTTTGCGTCACTGATACCTCTTCGTGATCTCACCGCTGCACTCCGTGTTCTGATTTGTACATTAACAATCAACGCACACACGTTTTCTGATGCTGACAGTGAAGTAATCGCCGGGAACAACCCACAGAAAAGAGCATCTCTGTTGGTGATCGAGAATTTGGAAACAATCTGAAATTGCGTTTGGCGATCAATAGAAAAGCGGGGCTTGCGATACCAATTTTGCGAAATGGAAGATGGGTTACAGCTGAAGTCAGCACACGCTTAGAAATTGTGGCTTGGTATCGATTTGGTCACCTGCTCAATTTTCGTAGCAAGTGGCACCACTAGAAGAATCAGGATCATGTTGCGTTACTTCCACCTCATTCCATTCGTGCATTTTGTGTATTTGGCAGAACGATCCCAGGCATCTGGGTAACGAATTTGGATAGTGACGAGATGCTAGCACCTCGTTTGTGTTCATCGGTTGCGGATGGAAAGCATACGCACACTTTAAGCACTCGGTAAGAAGAGGTAGGAACGAATGGAAGAGCGCTTTGAGCAACCAATAATTACAAGGTATACTCTGTCTCGTCCTGACACTTTTCCTGAGGGGAGGACTGATCAGAAGGGTTTCATCAATCTCAAGAAGCCTAATATGCGGATTATGTGTTAGGGCGAGCCCAGACAGAAGAAAAAGTACATGTGCAGAGGGTGACGCATCCCCAAGGTCATCATCGGTTCGACACGTCCGGAAAGCAGGTGAGTTGGCGGCTCTCACTAAACGGCTTAGCAACATACGACCAGTGTAGTGGGCCTGAGAATGTTCACGACCGGAACACCACCACTGGCTGTACGGAGCGAACAGGTGAACGAGCATATTTGGCCAATTAGTCATCCTATATATATATATTTACGCAGACGCTCTGTACGTTTTGTCCTGGCAATACAGCCGTGTCCCGAGTTCTCTGTGCTTCTCCCATCGCGTAGTCTGGCAGTCTCAGTGCAGGCGTAACCCATAGCTCGGCCACAACACGATACAACAATGCGCCACACAAATAACTGGCTTCCGTTAAGTGACTTTCAATGCATGAGCGGTAACTGTTGCTGAGTCAGCAATCTCCTGGGTAGCCTAGCCCATATGACAACCGTCAGTCAGTTCCACCGATATAGGTCTAATCACAGCTGCACATCAGTGGTCAGTGCCGGAGGTCAAACCAACGGTGCTTTGGTGATTGAGTTGATGTGTAATTGTTCTACTGACTAATTCGATTTTCGACCAATGTCCGAGGCCATGCAATCGTCCATAAACGGCAAACACAGGAATACTGCTTCTCCATGTATGACACAGACATACCCACACGATGGTTTCTGTAGGGTACGTGACACAATAGATCTATCAAGATACCCGTTCTATGTTGGGGATTTTGAATAGCAAATTCTCTTTTGGCAGCTGGTCTGTCGTACAGCTGTGTCTAGCCTTGTTGAAGCCAACTCAGCTACTTTGCTCCCTTGTTACCTAGTAGCTGACACCAAAGTCGGTTAGACCAAATGAAGTTTTTCACAAAGGATAACGTGCCTAACGGAAATACTGCAAAGCCTGACCCAACAACAAACCCACTTTCCAACATTGCACTCCATTGCACGTCATGTCATGGAAACGATTCATTGTGTGATCCTGTCAGACACACGTGGCACAGAGTGGAGGAATAGTAACAGTCGGCCAGCAGCTCGATGTCCTTTTAAAAGTTGATAATTGCCCTTATCGCTCTTGACCATCTGGAGTTGATGTTCAGTATTTGAGGCTTCTTTGAATACGAGTGCCTTTGTTATGTTATTTACGCTATGTATTGAATCCAACTTGATATTTTGATACTTCCCCAATTCTTTCGTTTGATGTTCGGGATCATCAAACCTACGCGTGACTTAAAGTTCCGTTTCGCGAGCCCCACTGGTATACCTCTCCTAGCCTAGAAGCCTCACTCCCGATAAGCCTTACTATCTTTAGCAAAATACACCGGTGTCCTTCATAAGATATCAGAGTTTTGCCGTATTCCCTACTAAGAGCCGTGCGGCTCGCAGAAAACACGACCAGTGACCGGTAACCGGGGTTCAACATACCTCTGGAACAGTTCACCCTGTTGAAACTCCTCGGGCATTCAAATTTCGCTGTACCACTAAAACCCAAAACTATTTATTGGCTTTCTCTGTAACAATGTTAACCAGAACATAGGAACCTACACTGTGTACCTTGAAGTAACTGATTCAGAGTATTTGCTCACTCTGGAACTGACCCAACCCCACACTTTTTAAAGGCCTTAGTAAGTAGACTGTGTTCATTCTTTGTTACTAGGGCTTTTACACAAGTCCGTATTTACGACTAAACAGAGTAATTCAACGGTTGACATGTCAACACCGGCGTCGTTTTTCACCTTTGGTGAGTTGTTTGTCGTGACAAGTCGCGCCATTTCTACGCTCATGATCGTACACTAGGTCCGATGCCTTCATTTTGCACCTTCCTATCAAGTCTTCTTTTCTACAATTTCAGCAATTTAACCTGTTGTGAATGACATTAATCGCCAGTGAGAGTGGCGCGTCTGTTGAGCTGCGGGAGCTCGGTTGCTGTTCACGGTGTGTAGTGCGTCTTCTGCACGGGGCAGAAAGTAGTTGTCAAACAGATGTGCTCAATGCGGAGGACAGTATACGAGAGAAGCCTATTTGTCCTGCCTGCTGTGGCCTGTTACACCACCCGTCACTTTGCCAACTTACTTTGAATCGCGTTGATGCACCACACATGAGTCAGCTACTTGAATCCGTTGCGTATAAGATCCAGTCATCAACTTTTGAATATTCTGCTTGTATCCTGAAAGTGAGTCAGTCTACTTTTATCCCATCGTTGCAATTTCTGAGTAAACCAACTATGGTTGGCTGTTTTCATAGCTATAGCAAATTTCTCTGTGCACAAGCAGCTGTTTAGCCGATCGAATCAAAGAGGCTATAATAATTGTTCTGCATATCAGCCTATCATCATTTACGGAACCTCTCATCTGGTAATGATTACATTCAATCACTTTCACGTATAATCCCAGTTCATCCAATTATTGGTTCTCGGTTGTAGGACGGGTGTAATGTCTCAGGTCCCTTACTCACTAGCTCCCTTGCTCTTTTATTGGTTGATGTCAATCCCCAAAATACTAGATTTGACGTCTCGCTTGCTTAACTGGGCAACCCGAAGCCTCAAAAGAAAACTTTGTGATTGGCTGCTGTTTTAGCAATATGACAAGGTTGCTTATTTAATACCAATTAGAGGTTGTAAGCCTTGCTAATTTTCACTATTGTGGGAAATTTCGGGATGAAATTACCAGAGTTACGTCTTCACTTTCCCCGTCAACATAATGATTAGGACAACGGAGGATTCCAGAAGCGCCTTGGAGGCCTCTTTCAAAGGAAGAAGGGTGTTCGATCAAACACTCATTTAGAAGTTACGGTTTTACGAGGGTCTCAGGGGAGACTCACTATAATATGTGATTAGCCGTAAAAAGACGAAACGCGTCATGACCTTTCGACAAATTTTCATCACATAAGCGGTATCTTACTGAGGAGAAGTACTTTGTTGTCTCAGAGATACACCACAGTCGGTTGAAAAAATATCATAAACGAGCGGACTAACCGAGTCCAATCTCTATCTTCCATCAATGTTATCTTAATTTGCAAATGAATGTTTTCACTTCAGTGAGATTTTCAAATGAGAACGACGGTGATGCTGGTGAAGGGCTACATGTTTCTGATGAGCCCCGAAAACAACGAAACCGGAAGGCTTAGAAAGTAATTTCATCTTCAATGGAGATTTTATCCTATCGGCGAGGGAAAGCCGGAAAACACTGTACAGTTTTTCCATTCCTTTTGTGACTCATTTGCAGTGTGCATCTCACGAAACTCAGAGAATTTTGAACTCGCGACCGTCCGGCCAGCACATGAGCGTTTGGCCACGGGTGGCTTGTAAGACGTGTGATTAACTCTCACTTAGGACACAGCGCTACTCATTTTCGTTTTAATCATTGAGGAAAAATATTTGGTGGTTTTAAACTGTATTTTGACGATATTGCTTGCGACTGAACTGCGAATGTAGCTCATTGACTTGTACTCAGATGACGTGTTCAACGAGAAATATCAGCATGTATACTCATGTAAATTTTGCCATCGTTTGCGAAACGGGTATCTCGCAGATTTGAGAAGATTCCTTCAGCTTGCTACTGCAGAGGTACTTGCAACTAAAGTGCTTCCAATTTGGAGAAAAGCGTTTGCACTGGAGCTATTTTCACTACATGGCAGAATAGCTCAATTTCTGTGTAGATAAATGCTATTGACAGTCAGTGCTAAGTTAAGTCCTCGATTTGATCGAAATTATGATTCCTTTGAGTCAGTAAGCGGTCGTTTCCAGACAGTTGCTGTCTAAGGTGGAGGCGGATGGGGAGAAGGCGACGAAACTCATTCAGTCGAAAGTGTTGATTGACAATTTTCTATCCGGCGCGCTTCCGTACGGTTCCCATAACAACGGTTCATGTCATATTACCAGTCCTGTGCGTCTCAGTCAGTCTTGTTGGGACCATTTGCATTTGATAACATCGCCACCGCAGTTTCCAGGCGTTATTACCACTGCGCGGTTGCTGAAGCATATTCGTGAGTGCATTTTCGGAATAATGGTGTGATCTAACCTATACAATCCAGAGTCCCAAATAGTAACATATCATCTGGCGACCTACAAGTTTTCCGGAAGTCTAGTGGGTTTTATAAAGTTAGCCGTCCAGACGGTATGAATAGATCGAATTTACTATTGTTTTTTTACTTGGGGTGATCAGAAGTGAGGTAGCAACAGGTACGGTCCACTATATAGTTCATGTTGTGTCCAGCAGTATCCCTACTGGAGCACTCCGAATTTGGAAGAAGAGATTGATAGGACTGAATCACTAGATTTTCTAAGGAATCAACACAGACCAGGTTCTACCAGCATTAGATCGGGCCCACTCTTACATCATAACTAACAGACTCAACGTTTCAGTAGCGCACGTGGGTCTAGGGCGAAATGGCTCAGTGTTTAGAGCGTGCATTTACTGACCGGAAGGTCCGTGATTCGAACCCGACTTCCGCATCTGGCTTCTTCTGTTTGGGCTTCGCAAGCTGGCGGTATTTTAGCTCTTGTGCTTCCTCCGAGTGGCATGGCAGCTAAGCAACGGAAGGGGACTACAGCTGAACGGTTTACGTTGGTTAGTTACAGTATTTCATTAGTGGGGTGCCGATGTCGATCATGCAACAGGTAGATGCAGCCTTCTAGTCCTACTTCTTTCGATATAATGGTTAGGAGAATCGATAAATGGACGGTAACTGGATATAAACCCCTTTGGAAACGTGTTGAATGCCTTCCACGGACTGATATGAAACACGGGAATAAAATCTTTAATCTCGTCGATGAACTGGCGACAGTAGTATTGAGTGGTTCGTTGAAGTCTGGAAGAAAACCATGCAGGACTCGATCGTAAATGCACCTGAATTATGTTCTCCGTTAATTGGGAATAAAACATTTACTCTGACCTGGCATTTTCCGCCCTCAGCACGTGACTTAATGTGCGTTCTTCGTGGATTACATCGAACTCGGTGTCATTTAATTGTAACGTCGGGTTCTTGTTAAGTTTTCCACTCTTCGATATCCTAGGTTGAATTTCCTGAAATAAGGAAAAAAAGGGGATCCTTCCTCAGTATACCAGCTTCCACCGTTTTCGATAGTTGATATGGTGGCTGTTCTGTTGGCCGAACTTAGCAACTGGCCAGCTATTTGGGTGACAAACAGTGCAAGCATTTACCACCAGTGCACTCGGCAAACAGATCAATGGCTACTTGATCAAATGCCACTAATATACCATACCAAATTGCTATCAACCGTCCAACGTACTCCCGGTTGTTTTTAACCCACACATAGGGCGTTGCATAAGTAGATGAGAGACAATCCTAAGCTCACAAGGCAGGCAATACAATCGTTTAAAGTTGTTTGCAGTACTCGCCCATATAGTGGCGCAATATTCGATTGAGCATTTCGTGAGCAACTATACCATCTTAGCGCAGCATCTTATCTTGCCTGAGGAAGGTAGCGCGAAACGGCACACTTATACATGATTAGATTGGCATTATAATTCGGCAACATTGATAAACGCCATTCACTGCGAACGTTCATGTTCCGTAAAACCTGGAAAAGCGTTTCAGAGGCTCGTACAGTTAAACCGAGGTGCATAAGGTTTTTAAGTGGCCTACGAATAAACGATTTGAGAACAGCATAAACGGGAGATTCAGCCGAGTCCCTTCATCACCAAATTGGTATGCAATTGAGTGGAAATTCTTACAATTTGAGTCCAAGTAAAATATAAGGTTGACCAAAACCCGGAAACTGGGCCTACCTGATGAATCCCTAGAAAGGCAAAACTCGCCGTGCGCTTTCGAAGCGGTTCCGGCAATGTTATGAATAATATATAAACGCTTTGAGTTTCACTACAATGCGTGTTCTGACCTATGTATGGTCAAGAAGTACAACTCCCCTGGAGTGACCATGCCCTGCAATTTGGAATGTCTTTGGTCAGTACTGCGGATAATTTCGCTCGAGGGAATTCATTATTTTGAAAAAAAAACCTCCAAGGGCGAAATGTATGCGAAATTTCCTTAGCACACAAAGTTAAGTGACGGTCATTTAAAAACATGATGTTTGAGACTACGATTTAAGTATGAAAATTCCTTTCAACTTGTCTCGTGACATTACGGTCTTTTCGTTGCCATACATCAATTTGCTGTGCTCTACTTTTGCTCGGATTAGTTTATTTGGTTCGTTTATGCCAGTATTGGTGTCCATGCTTATTCCCCATTGTGGCATAATTTAACTCTACTCTTCATTGGGCCCCACGAATGTATGTCGAAATGGCTATAAAAGTTTGCAGATTCCTGGACTGGATTACCCAAGTTGATTTTGTGTTTGACTAGGTGCTCACCTCGTTCGCCTTCGCCCAGTTAGTGCAGTTTTCAACTCGACTGATTCCACATACTTCGTGCCGTTGTGTGAAATACGCTCGTCATACTGTCACTCACCTTTTCTCATCTGTAAACTTCAGTCGACGTTTTTTACTGTATTCCCACTGTTTCCCATCTTTTTTGTCATCCATCACTTATAATGGGTTCACTAACTCATGCGTGGCTTGTCGTGTGACAAATTGGTTATTGCTAGAAATCTTGTGGAATTGTTTTCGAATTTCATCCGTAGCTACTCAATCACTCTTGTTGGGGTTTCCGTCAACAGCTGCACTTTGACTTTAAAATAAAAGTAAATCGTTCAGCTGTAACACCTTTCCGGTACCTAGCTGCCATGCCGCCCGAAGGAAGCACGAGTGCTGGGATACTGCCAGGTTGCCCAAGCTTAGACAGGGGAAGTCGAGATCGGGTTCGAACGACAGACCTTCCGGTCGGTAAATTCGCGCTCTAACCAGTTGGGCCAACTCGCCCCGTTTGACCTTAACACGACAGAAGTACATCGGCCGGTTATACATCTCTTGACGGTCGGCATTCGTTCAAGTCTAACCGCTCACCTTGATAGCGAAGATGGACGAAATGACATTCCCATGGACAGTGGTGGACGATTAGAGACGGTCAAACGTATTAACCTTTCATCGTCAGCACATTGATGCGATGTAGCACTGATTTTGACTGTGTGAATCGCTTTCCTCATATCCCCGATTGGAACCGGCAGCCTCAGTTAGGGCTAATAGCTGGATACATCCTGTGGCTGTCGGAATATGTGGTTGACTCTGGTTGATCTAATGGTGCAAGATAATGGCGTTGAGTAGCTAGATACCAATGAATCACACTATTTCCTAAAGTCAACTACTTGGCGTGACAGTAATTGATCCATAATAGGAACATGCGTCTGCAAGTATCTGTTGACGTGGCAGAATTCAACCAACCCCTTGCAATAAGCATACCCGACGCTGCGGGAACGTGTCAAATGGTGTGGTACCGTGTAAGTCTTAAGACCGGCTCCTAAAGCCTTGGCTGCACAGAAGGATCAATGTGCTGATACTTACATAGACGACCTAACAATGTTGAAGATTCAAATTGTGATCTGAAGTACCACGAATCTAAACGTCTTCACGAGCTAAACACAAATGTGTAAAGAATGGGATATTTTAAAAATCCTTACACTGAATTAACCCAACGAAATAACGAAACACCTCCCTGATTTGTTGTCCCGCTTACAGACATTTGTCAGTCGTTATTCACGTCAAGTTACGGTCATCTAGCGTAGTTATTTGGAAAAGGGAAAATGGCGACCTCATGACGAGAGTGGGCTGTAGTTGTTTGAGCTTCCTTACCTAGTTATTGGTGAAAGTTTGGTGATCTGAAACACCCAGGATGATTGTCTTCTGTGAGACCTTCCTGCACACATTTAGATTTGTCTTACTTCGCTGGTCATAGTTTTTCATAGAACGAGATTGAATTCGTCGAGACATTCAACGACGGTGGAATAAATGAGGATTGAACGAAATTCGAAGTGTCTAACTGCGAGCGCTACTCATTCAGCTCTTATTCTCTGCTAGCCGACATTGATACAGATGTCGAGTGAAAACAAACAGAGGATCAGCGAAATACACTCATTTGCAAACTAAGTTGGTTTTTCGAGAGGCTCACCTGAAATCCAGTTGAATCTCCCTTTTGTGATGTTTCCAGGCGATGAATTTTCAGAAACCTTACGAGTATTGCATTGCAAATGAAGAGAGTATCACCTTGATCTCTCTCTTCATTTCCAACAGCCAATAGGAAGAACTTCAGATGCCTGATGACTGATAAATAACGAATTTCCAGCCGTTCTTTTTTATCATGGTGGTTTCGTTTCCGGTCCATAGATTCCGTTTTACCATCTTCAGGAATCTGGTCTCACATAAGTTGGGGGATCATACTAGCTGACTTAAAGCTGAGGAATTTGGAGTTGTTACAGACTTCATCACGAATAGTGCTTTATGTGCAGTTCCTAGCCCACGGTAACCGTTTCATATTCCAGACGGTAACCCCGGTGAACATCATCCTTCGAGAACACATTCTTTGGGCACTATTGCTTCAGAAGGCCGGCGAAAATGCTGCGGGCTCTTCTGGACTCATCGCACGTCAACCAGAAGCCGTCGCCCCTTTCTCAACACAAGATGTTGATAAATGGCGACGAAACAGCATATCGCTTAAAGTCGCTTGGCAGTGGATTGTCGAACCTCTTCTGTCATCTGCACTACAGGTATGTTTTATCTGTTTTGGCAAACACAGCTATAGTGTTGTGGGTCTTGCTTTGATCAGTTCAATTCTGATAAAGTGATTTTCTCTAGAATGCTTGCCACACATGACCATGAAATCCTGCTTTTCTGAGGAAATGTGTTTTCTCTTCTCAGGTACAGTTTTATCCATACCACCCGTGGTTGAACAGCCACCAGCCTTCATAGTACAGGTTTTCAGGCCTGCATCAATGGTAAGGCAGTAAACTTTGTTTTAGCTGCCCATCGGTAGGGCATGTCCTTGACCGTGCCGGATTTTGAAGTCCGTACGTTCGACATATCAGGCAGACATGTTGTGTTGTCCCTAGTCTACCAACTCAAATCATGCTCACCGAACCAGGTAGACGTGTTTGTCCTTCAACTGTATCAGGGTTTACACCCATTACCTACCAGATACGGTTATCTTTCTCGAGAACTCACTTTCTATGGTTACCAAGACGTTGACTTAATGCCAAATGTTCACGCTATCGACCAAGAACAACAGAAGTTTGACCAGCCATTCTTTAACCATTTATCAAAATTTTCCGCAGCATACAATCGAAGGCCAGCTTGGCTGCCGAATGTCCCATCAACGCGGTTCATTGGTTGTAGTGAACACCAGTTGAAACAAGACACTTTGGAACAGGCAGAAATCAACCAATGCTAACCATTGTAGAACTGATTAGAAGATGAACCAGTCACAACCGAATACCTCTGAACATCTATTGGATAATATGAATAATGTCAATGTTACTGTTTTCTGCACCGGTAAAAACTAGTGGTTTTATGTGGATGAACCGAGATTTTGCTGGAGTTAATTAACCATCTCCTTTGCTCATTTTCTTGGACTAAAATAACACCACAATGTAGTTTCGTTGGTGCTCATTCATGGGATTTGTGATAGCTCGGACAGTGTGACACGCGTATTAGCTGAGAGTGTAATTTGTACCCTATGGTCCTCAACAGCTTCTGTGAGCGCACATTAGGATGATTCATCAGTGCGCACTGATAACGTCCCCACGATTTTATGACTACTCGTTTGCAAGCGGATTGCAGAGCTCAGCGAGCAGATTGACAGCCACGTGATCTACGACCGGTTAACACCCAAGCTAACAGTATTTCGGTATGGTCGTTGGCTTGTTCGCTGAGCTGGGCAATTTGGTTGCAAACGTTTCATCACCAATCGAGGTGACATCATCAGTGCGTAGTTGTGCGTAGCGGTGGGTTAGTGGTTGTGCACAACCATTACTTGGGCATATGTCTACAAACAATGTAAGTTACGTCAATCACTTGGCGCCAAACTGTAGTGAGTTTCCTGAGTAATCAGAAAGTGGGTCTCAAACTGTATTGAATCGATAGCGTAGGGTGATTTCATTTCAGCTTTTTCTTTTTGAGTTTCCTGAGTAATCAGAAAGTGGGTCCCGTCAGCCTTTGCGGCGCTTCCTTTCACTAGGTTCCGGGACAAATTCTAAGCCTACAAAAAACGCCTGTTCGGTGAGTGTTTTTCCCTGAAGGGGTTATTCTTGGGGAAATAACGTATTGATGAATATCTTCCGTTGATTACACTCACCCTTTCCTTTCGCTCATGCTCACACTTTTTTGACCAGTCAACCCGGCGGCTGTGTTTTCCGCAGACAACATTGCTACTGATGAGCCCACCATAGATTCTGTAGTTCCACTGAAATTCACAACTGATTTACAAACCTCTCTCTTGAAAGCCAAATTGATTTGCAGATGAGTGTATTTCTCGAAAACAGCTCAATTTGGGTTCAAGTAGGACGTAAGATTGACGGAACCTCGTGGATTGCACCTACCTGATGAGCCCCAAGAAGGGTGAGACCGGTCGTTGGCTATCGAAAAGTTTTCAGCAACTTTGTGAGTAGTTTCCTGTATGAAAAGATTTCCATACCTCTTTGAGAGAGATCGGAGGGCTTCTAAGAGAGTTTCTGGTCTCAGCAGTATAGCGTGTCTTAAGCAAATTCCTTTTCGTTAGCTTCCAACACATGTTCCTTCTGATTGAGGGTCTTCTTCAATTTTTGAGGATTGTCATCGCCACCTATCAATCGACAAGCAATCGACTGTTTCGGGCGTATAATTGGCTAGAGTTTTGACAGGTTCGACTGCCTTTCACCACTTTGTCTCACAGCTTAATTTGACTTCGAAGTAGAGATTTCGAGGACGATTTCGTATTACTCTACGCCTGTCCTCTTTCTTCACATTACCAAACAACTCGAATACGGTGGCACCAGTTTCTTAAAGGTATGCATGGTTGCTTTGTTGTGCTAAACGTCTTTGTTTCCCGTATATGTACGTTTTTGGCTCAAATACGATTTGCTGCCGTTACGAAGCTATTCGGATCCGTGTTCGTCAACCGTTAGTTTTGGTGGCCTAACTGAATACTTTTTAATGTCTCCCAATTCCACAGGTGCCGTTTATCCAGTCTTCAAAGGACATTCTCAAAGAAGAACTCTTGCAATCTCTTGGTTTTCCACCATTTCCTGAGACGTCTGTTCTCACACTTAATGTTGAACTAACAAACGAACATTCCAAACTCGAATGTGAGGACCACCTACGAGTCATAAGACCAGCAGTTTCTGATGAAATTCAGGCCCATATCAACGAGCTTTTGAACTGTCGACCAGAAAAAAATAGAAGGAAACGTGGAGCTTTACAGAAGCATGTGCTAGACAAAAACGTTGAGATCCAGGAGCCGGAAATCTCACCATGTCAGTTCTCAAAGACCAATTTACAACCTCTGCTTTGGACCATTTTGGATCGGAAATTTGTGCTTCCCTGCACGTGAGTTACAGTAGTGTCCTTTGTCTGCGTGTTGAGTGGCTCTTCTGTTTTGTCGCTCAGTTGTACAGTTTCAGTCATCTTGTAGGCTGTTTTGTTGCAACTAATCGATTCCTACTTTGGTTCAGTACCAGATTAACATTCAGAATATCAGTTAGGTTGCGAATGGTTTGTCCTTATTCCATCCAAAACGTTTTGCTGCATTACGATCCCTAAAGTACGATATTACTAGTAAGTTAGAGCTTCCTAAGTACGTGTACACTTCTCTCAGATAAGCCCCGCCAACCAAAAAAGATTAGAAATAAGAGAATATGAGATTTGTACTTTTATTTTCTATTGAAGAGGGTGAAATTGGGACATGTCATTAATAATTTACATGAAAAGGTCCGTTTTTCGGTACCTTTGCCTCCAAACGAACTCACACAAGTAGCTGTTCATTAAAGATCGGTGTGTGCCGCATTGGCGTTTATTCTGCATCTTGTAGACGTGGCAAAGAGATTCGACCGTTTGTGTGTGAGCTCCAGCCGTTGGATCCACATAGTTTTCGGTATGATTTACCGTTTCATGAATATGATTCATGTCAATCATCGTTTCAATTCCTTGGTATGGTGCCCACATATCGGAGATGATGATTGGGCAGGGAGCGATGCCGGCCTGGATTGTGTCCATCACAGTGGCCGCCGTTCGATCTGGCACTGCATACATGAACACCTCTTTAGTTTCCCGGTGGATCCCTCCGGAAATCCACTGCTGGGAAAGGACTCGCCCTGTGTGAATCACTCCGTGACTTTGCAAAAAAACGTATTGCTGTCTCTTTGTCATGGACGAGAGTTGAAAGCCACAAAAAGTTCGTTTAAGGTTTAACCTTCGAACGGAGATTTTTGCACACAATGAGCCTAGATGCGGATAAGGAATTAATTTCATCAAAAACAAGTCAAGGTTGTGTGCTTACATTAAATTGGAACTGGCAAAAAATGGCGGGGTTTAGTTTTTCGCACATGCACTCTTTGCATTAGTGGTGGGGCTTATCTGGAAAAGATCCTCTCTCAGAACCACAGGCTTTATCCCAAAGTTAATGGAATTTTCTCTTGATGCGCAACCGTGAGATTAGACCATTAGCCTCGGAGATCCCCGACCTATCATTCGGAGTTGCCTTGTTACAATTGGGGCGTATGGTGTAGGAGCGATTCCTATTCGTTTGTCCTCCTAATAGGGACTGACCGTACGGCCTGGTCACTATAGTCTCTTCTTGACGATATCGACCAAGTCAGCTGTTTCTAGATGACCTTTGGCGTACCCACTTCGTTTCCGCAGATGTAATTGGTCTTATTTTGTCTGTTTGCATTATCGTTTTTATTGTTTGAACCCGTTTGAAATACATTTTTCTCTCAGCGAGAAAAAAGTATGGTGTTTGACTAGAGGAGAAATTCCAATTTGTTTTTTAAAGAACGATTTCTATGGCTTACAATCAGTGCGCTGTCAGCTGTCACTCGCTTTCTCATCTTTGATTGATCATCCTTCTATATTCTCACCACCTCAAGAGTGTAATTGACGAAGTGGTGTTGAACATAGTTTATTTTGTATTCAAACCATGATACGTTGGTTATTCGTCATATCTTTTGTTCTTCAACATCGGAGATGCTGGTTTTCACCTCATACTCGTCTAGGCTAACGGACTGGGTGGAACGGGTCTGACGTTTCGATCCCGTGGATTACCAGAACAATTGACTTGTATACGTATGCTACAGAGGAGAATGTTGATAGCTCAGGTAGCATAGATAGTAGTTGGTTTGTTCGCTGAGCTGGGTAATTTGATTACAAAGTTTTCGTCATCATTCGAATTGACATCATCAGTGCGTTGTTAGGGAGCTTAGTGAGCGTAGCGATGGGTTGTAGGCGAAACGTATGCAACCAAATGTATGTACGTATGTATCTCACCATGGCCCAAGTTGCCTGATACCTGCTCATGCCACAGCATGAGCAAGGTTTGTCTGAAGCTTTGAGTGGGGTTCCAGGACAGCACAGTCTACTTCAAGTTTATTCGTACGATTCAAGAACTTATCCACAGTTACTAAAAAAGTGTGTTTTACTTCACAGTTAGTATAAAATTTTTCAACTACTCAGGTCGTCTTTGGAATAAATCCCTAGTTATCCAAGTTCCACTTGAAAGGACGCTGGCACCGGAATATATTCCCAAAATAGTGCTGGGATTGGTCCGTGCAGGCAGTCTTTCGTTACACCGCAAAACAGAACTGTGATCCTTTTGAATGTCCACCTTGGTTGTGTTTTCTATTTGAGAAGTTGAACTCTAATTTCATCGCAGCTGATTGTTCTTCAAATGTAATTTGAAGTGACTGCGGCTGTGTGCTGGAAAACAGAAGAGGAATTAACTTGGATGTTTTGGACTTGTGCGCCCACCACCGGCATCATGTTTGTGTTGCTCAGACTCTTTAGCGCCCCGGCTCAAACGTGGTCTGTGCATTTACCTTCTGGAAGCAAAGTTCTTTAGGTTCATCGTTTACTTTTCATCAGCGATTTTCAGCGGCTCTGTTGAGCTATCCTTCTTGACTGACCTTAAAGATGTGCGGAATGCCTCCAACCTAATAAAGTAATCGTTTGGTGACCTGAACCAACTAAATTAACAGCCGAGCTTTCGTCGAGCAACTCAGCACTTTCAATTGTTCTTAGCGTTGACTATAACGCCAAAACTCACCACTATCAGGAACATGTTTCAGTTGATATGTTGATCCACCGGGCCAACCTCTAGTAAAATCGATTGTTATGTTCACTAGTCAATACGAAGAATGCGCATCCGAGGCTAGCAACAGAGTCAAACTTGACCTCTAAGTATCCCAGTTCACCTGGCCAAACAGAAACCAGTTGATCAGTCAAGCACTGTTCATATTCCCCGTTTTTTGAGAGAAGTTTGTCCGTATTGGTAAAGAGTGGGCGAACGCCGATGAACTTTTTTGGTTATTTTGAGGGTGTTAGTGTTTTTTCATCAGTTCAGTGGTAAATTATACGCTCCTGGGCCAGAGTGGTTCCAGTAGGAAGATCTCTGTCCTACTCATTACACCGAAATCTGCCCACCTGGTCAATTTGTGCAAATCCCCATGCGCGTTTCTAGTTATTTGTACCACTGAATTGTGGCCAATGTTTCTGGCAATGCCCTTTTGCGACGTTTTGTCTAATCCTAATTACGTCAAATTGACTTACTTCTGGGACACTGCTTGTACCCTCAGGCATGTTACATTATTATTTCGGTGTAGTTTGTGTAAACAGTCCTGTTCTATGTACGCTGGATCACCTGTGTCGTGATATCGTTTACAGCAACTTAGATAGTATAGGTAGAACTCTATGAGCGGGTAAATTACCGAAAAGCGAGGGGATTAAAATGTGCCTATTTGTATCTCATTGACGATTGATTGTGTAACTCTGTATTGCGAATTGATAATGAATGAACTGCAAAACACCTATGCTTTATGCGTTAACGCTAGCCCACAGCATAGCCACGTTGAAGACATCAAGTAAACACGCTCAGTTCCACAGGTACATCAGATCAATTCAGAAATTCGCCAGAACATCTGCCACGCATCACGCTTGTGTTTACAGGCACTATCTTACGCATTACTGTTGAAGTTGCCATTGCAACTGCCGCATAGCTCTCTAGTGTTATCTTGTCGACCTTCATACCTGATACCTCCATCGTATACATTTACTCCGCGGGACGAGAATGCACCCCACTTGTTGCAATAGAACCGGATACCATCGACCTTGGCTGCCTGTCATTTCTTCTCTTCGCATGCCGTATTGCGCGGGTCCCGAATTCCTTTGACCTGTTTGTTCATCCTTTCAAGGCAGTTCATCGAAATTTTTCCTCATCCATACAGCCGTTACCAGCCAGTAATAATGTCCCATGTTCATTCAAAATGGTCAGTTTTCTTGTTGGTCCGTGTGTCATTAGCTGGGCTTGTTTCTGGTGCAGAACTACGGCTACACCCATGTTCCTTGCGCCACTTCCAGCCACTTGACCATAGGTTGTCAGTTTCATGAACCACACTACAAAATAAAGTCGAATTTTTCATCTAAGGCACTTTATCGACACAGCGGAAACACAAACACCGAGATAATGTGGGCTAACTAAGTTCCGACAAGAGCAACCGAAGTCGAATTGTGATTCTTCCTTGTGCGAGATCATGACCCGACCCTGTGATCTACTTCGAGGACAAACAAGTTAGTCACGAACAATACTCAATTGTTACAGTTGGGAAAACACAGTAATTCTTCTCTATATTGATCCGGGAAATTTTCCATGTTAAATAGGTTAAGTTAGATCCTTTTTTGGATGGAAAGTCAAATATCAAGCTTGACGATTGGGTCATAAATGACTCAGAGTGTCCCAGTAAAAGATGCCGCAATGGAGCGTTAGACTTAGTCCTGGCCTGAATGGGTCTGTTTGCCCTTGTGAAACACAGTCTTTGTCCGGGGCTGATAGTACATCCATTCCTTGTGCCGGTGATAGCTTGTCATCTAGTCTCTGCTTATTGATGCTTCATATAGTACTAAACCTATGTCGTAGTCAGAAAACTACTTTCATCTGCTGAATATCGTTCCAACTGGCGTTTATCAACGAGAAATTCAGCCGACTCTTCCGTTAGTGTCATTTTGGTTTGCCACTGGATGTTTGTGCACACACAACCAGGCTCACATTTGGGTCAGATGCGGTCTCCTTAATCTGTGATACAACACGTGCTGAAATGTAACTTCCGCACGTGTGTTTTCTTAGGGTACATTGTTGGCTCACATTGAACCATTGTGATGTCACTTCGTGGAAGATATCTTGGCAAAATATGCACGCCTACATATGTTGTTCGGTATGAGAACTCTCGCTAGTACAAGTGGATTGGATGCAACTTATAAATTTGCCGATCAGGTGTATATTGTCACTAAAAATCCGATTATTTCATCCGCTTGGTTTGCATTGCCGTGATTCTTCCGGAAAGTTTGATGCAGTCGTGTACATGAATGTGCATGTACGTGTTTGTGATAATTGGAAGTGGAACTCTTTCAGGTACAGTCAGCAAGAAAACGGTTGGTGAAAGCTATATGTTCTTACAATAGACGCGCCCAGAATTTTCACACAAACGGACACGTTGATTGGTCAGTTAATGAAATGGGAAGTGCAATAATGAATAGTGTTTGCTGAAGATCGAATTCTTTTATAATCTCAGACAACAGCCACTCGGAACTGAACAACCCGCCGCGTTTTGATAAACACTCATTGTGGCTTTCCCATTCGGTCATTCATCCTTAGAATGTGAACTACCTTATTGTCCGAACTCGTTTCTACAGAGAGCGGGGCCCATTTAATGGCCCATCACAACATGTATGGTTGCAGTTTTTACGATTCTAGGAGATATCGTCAACGCGCTCACCACCATAACGTAGTACGAACTTTGCGGGGAGTTCTTCACCGACTTTAGTTGGTAGGGGGTTATGATGAGTGGTCTCAAGAGTGTCTTACATAGGGGGGCATTTGTTTACAGTCGTTCGACTTATGGTTAACCTCTTATGACCTGGGGCTATATCGGCTTCAGTTAGACAGTTGTTTTACAAAGGGACTCATAATAGCTTCCTTGGTGTTTTCCACCTTGTTCCATTGTGGATTGATCGGCTGTTTTGTTCTTACAGTCTAATTTGATACCAAAAATACTCTGATTAAACCTATTGTTGATGGATCAAATTCTATCGGTCAGGATACGGGAATATCTTTTCACAACCACATGGTCACACAATGGTACGTATGACCACTCACCCTACAATACGGGTATGAAAAGGCAACCTGATGGGATATGCAATGTCAATTTATGCAAGCGTTTTTGATGAAGTGGACGAATTTAGACTATCCGGAGTTCTCTTTTACCTCGGTTATTCGTTAAATTCAGGATTGTCACAGAGTATAGTTAAATCCAAAGGCCGTCAAGAAAATTAAAGTGATCGTGGGGCCAAGTAGAATTGATGCTCTGGGTAGAAAGAGTTACGGATCGGGAGATCTGACTTGGAAGCGGTGATGCCAAAATTAGCGAGAATATGTCTAAACATTGGCAGCTGAAATAGGTTCATTGGCTGTTGACCAGGTGGCAGTTGGCCTGTTTCCCGAGCTCAGCGATCAACAGCCGAATTTGCGGAATTCCTCAATTACGTTTTATCAATGCGACATTGAATTACGCATACCCGAATTACAGTACCTTCGGCAGAGAAGGTACCACACAAAAACGTATTTAGCTTTGCCACTTCGGAGGTAAAATAGGTGGTTCAGTTTCTCTAATAATTCGTGAGCGGAAGATTATAAAAATGATTTTTTTCCAACAGAATATTGGGTGATGTCTAACTGAGCCCATCTCGGAATATGAATGCAATCAAACCCGCATCAAATCCACAAATTCTTCAGTATTTCCGATTGTGTTACCTCTGGATAAGCCTCTCGATTTGTCGTTTAGCTTGCATTTGTTTCGAGATAATCTCATCGGAATCTCATTCACTAAGCATTTTCCCACAGTGTCGTTTTAACCTTGAACGGGTGTCCCTACCGATGGAAACCCCAAAAAAGCTTAGATAATTGTCATAAAGGAAACTACTCACAAGGTTGCTGAAAACTCTTCGACAGCCCACGACCGGTTTCGCCCTTCTTGGGGCTCATCAGGTAGGCGCAGTCCCCGAGTTTCCATCAACCTTGTGTTCCAGTTGAACTCGAAATGGACTGTTTTCGAGAAGTGCACCCATTTGTAGATCAATTTGGCTTCGAAAATATTTGCCTTTGGAAAATCAGTTTGTAACATAAGTTTTGGTGGTTTTATGGTGACAGCACAGGCTGAAGTTAATTTCGACCATACCACCCGGCTTCAAGCATTACTTAGTTGTGACCTAGTACCACTGGTATTTGCAACTTTGTTCACAAACCTCCTCAAGTGGCACATGAATGCTCGGCGATCTACGATTGCTACTCGTATCGACGGGTCAGAGCAGTAGCTTTGAAATGACAAACTCCAGCCCGGTGCTGTTCATTGCAATTCAAGACTTATTCTAGCGAGGTCTATCAGTATCCAAACAATTTAAAAGCCTTCTGTGATTTAGCGTTTAATTCTTTCTTCAGGTAGCTCAAAATAGATAGATGGCTTTTTAAACTGGCGCATACTAGATTTTCTGTAGGCTGTCAAGTTCATAACATTGTCTCCTGTTGAAGAGCACACTCTTCGATACTCGTTAGAGATGAAGATGGGCTGTGCAAGTATTCGAAATTCTGTAGAATTCTGGTGGGAGGTACTCGTGAAATGACTTAGGATACAGCCTTTTTCAGATAGGTATCTCCAGAAGTGATTGATGTGTCCTTGTTTGGTTGCGCACTTTTATTAGCTTAACTTGGTCGAAACTTGTTTCAACACAATCATCAACTGCTTCCTACCGAGTCAATTGATCCAGAAAAACAACCCGCGTGAGGTTATTGAAAACAAAATCAAACCAATAACAACAGGTGTTGTTCTCATCAGTCCTTGTTTTCCTAGTTGCTGTACCGAGAGCTAACGCGGGCTAGATTGTTTTCGCTGTGCAGTTGATTTCTATGCGCCGCATTCAGCTTTTAGCGAACTGGTCTGCACTACCTTGCCATCATCTGGCGTTAACGTGTATTTTTATTCTCCTCAGTTTCTTTGTTTTTCAACCAATTGTTTGCGAACAAAGAGCATTATTGATCTTAGAACGGGAACATCAGATTGCACAGATAAACCAATTCCGAAACGAAAACAACACTGTGATGGAGGTAGATTTTCGAAATTCCACTTTGAAGAATTGATTTTCGTACAATAAACACATCGGAACATTGAAAAGTATGTAGAACGAGGGCTTATGCTTATGGTAGAATGGGCGAAGTTCTGGCAAGCGTAGGTAGGTAGGTTTTCAAAAAACAGAACCGAATGGAGTTTCGGGTCAAGTGTTGTGCGATACTGTGTGTATTTTCACCTGTTAAGGGTGGCTGGAATCGAAGCGACAAGTTGTTTGGTTGAATAACATGATCATCGAAAAGGCTGATTTTTGTAGCCCTTCGGTGCGCAAACTGGATTGCGAAATCGGGGGACTGCTGTAGCCTGCAGGTGATCGAGTTTGCCCGGCATACATGCACAGATCTCCTAGTCACGAATCCCAACTCTCGCTCAATGTTGGTTCACTTGCAAGGAGCAGTGGATAGACCGAGATGAAGGTATCAGTAGTAACTTGCGTGTATCGAACTTCTGGGGTTTATCTTTGACAGATTCTGACTTCGGTGCTTACATCCGAATCGACCGTGTGGAGTGCATGCAGTCGGCATTTTCCCTCAAATACTGGAATCCCAGGACATTTGTATTTCGCAGCATCGTGTTATGTTAGTGGATGCACGCTCCACACCTCATTTTCCAACGATCAATCCCATGTTTTATACACCAACAGTTTCAAGCATAAGAACAACGTTGAATTTGTGAAAACTTCAGTCGGAAAGCAAATAAGCAAGCGGGTCACTTCAGTCTATGATCCTGGTCTCAGTGGACAGCTCTGTTTTGCGTCAATCCGACCGGCGTTTGGACCTTCCGTTTTCATAGTCCTCCATATTCATCGTGATGTATAAAAATGTCAGATGTATAAGAATGTCCTGCTACGAGGGAGCAGTTGTCTTACACAGGAATATACAGGACAGTTTGAAACGGCTCACCGATGGTATTGCTTATAAAGAAGACACAAGACTTCCTGCTCTCTTCTTGGGTGAATGGCCAATTATTTGTCTGGCCCCGACGTAAGCGACTCAAAGTTCGTGCTAAGATAAAACTCACATCATCTGAGGTCATCGGTGAGATTAAACCGTAACTATTTATAAAAATCTTAAGGAGTTCTGGGCCGAAATAAGCTCGGAGTGTTAAAAATATTCAGTGCCATGTGGTGCGTAGTGGAATAGGTTGCTATAATCCGACGTTTCAGTTGCCATGGGCAACCTTTCTCAAGGATTTCTACAATCAATTGAATACGAGTAAAAAGACAACAATTAGGAACAGCAAAGTGTAGTGTATTCCTCGTTCATTCCCGACAGCTTAGACATTCTCAGATGTCGCTGGAGGCTGTAATCCGTGAAATCATCACATTCGTCAAATCTGTGGTCCGAATTCATCAGGATTTACTCTGTTTTTCCGCTTTCCGGTACATTTTTTTCAGATCATATTGTAAAACGTTCCAGTTTTAAATTGTTCGAGAGAGCTTGACAAACATCGTCCGATTGTTTATCATGTGAAAATTTATTGTCGATTGCGTACACCCTAGTCTCCCCGCTACGATCACGCTCCCAACGACCAGCAAAGTCCAACTTGGTCGGGATTGTCCGGTAGTGATAGCCGGTCGTTACGTCAAGCTGGATCGTTACTTATCACAAACCCCTTGGATTATTGACACCAAACGCAAGCTGTCCAGTTCTGTTGAAGAACTAATCGCCGATACGGTTAGAGAGCAGTTTGGTCGAAATACGAATATCACCTTTTCAAGTTCCGGTCGAGAAGATGTTGATGTTCGGTGAGTTTCGGAGCTTTTCTCAGCCTGTCTCATGGTCACTGGTAACTGTAAGTGGTCTGTCTTGTAGGCGGTATATTTATTTAATGTGTATATGCTTTACACAGCGTCCCTATTCGCCCTAAGATACTGCCAGTTTCCCTAACCCTAGACAGGAATAGTGGGGGTGCGGAAGTTGGGTTCCACGCACTTTCGGGTCGGTAAGTTCACTCCCTCAGCGGGCGTCAGTAGTTACGCTGCATTTCTTGTCGTCCATTAACTATGGGGACCGCAAAACCCAAAACAACTCTGTCCCAATGAAGCAGGAGGTTCACTGTGGTCTCTTTTATGGGTGCACTCCATAGAGAGGTAATTTCTGGAGTTCTCCAGGGAAGGACGATATTTGTGAATCGACACTCAAAATAGCTCTAGAATCCTCCTCGTGCACTGTCTTCTTTTATATAGAGTCGCGTGATTCTCCTGAGAACGGGGCACTCAGTATTGTTTGTGATGTCCAGGAGAGCTGACAAGAAATTTTGTGAGAGATCCACGCCTTCTGGACGCGGTGTTGGCAGCCGGCATCTAGCGGATACTGAATCATGATTAGCTGCTTGTCGACTAATCAGTGCTCGAATCGGCGCTGAGCAGGCAATCGACCCAATCTTCTGACCATTCACGTGCGGGTCAGACCTTTTGGCAGCAGTAGCGCCTAGCCGTGACCGGTAAAGTGGTTTTGGTGCAGGATTCCTGATATCGCCAATCATGTGCGCTGTGGATGAATTTCAGCGGAAACAATACCTGGTTTCAGCACATCCCATCTTTGATGTGGAGTGGCCTGAAGAAATACACCAAGACAGGGGAAGGACCGTTCAGATGAGAATGATCTGCATACGAAATTCCTAGAAATCTGACCAGAAATATTCGTTGTCAACCCTCCTGGTGAAATGTTTCCGTTTGAAGGGCTACTGTATTTTTGTCTGTGGTTAAGGTGACCCTTTGTATGCACAGATGGCATGATCGGATGGTTGGTATTTCATGATAAGCACGATTCCTAATCGTCGTCATTCATGATTTAATTGAACTTAATAAGGTACACTCGCTTCTGGTTCGGGTGAGGGACCATAGTTATGGGGGATAAGTTCGTATTTTGGTTGCTTTACGCACCAGTACCAATTTGTTTTGATTCTTTTTTCGCAGTTGATTTACTCTTAACTCACCAACAATGATTGACATTGGAGCTCCGTGTGATTATGATTGAATTATGTATCACTTTCAAGGATAGGAAAAAACTTAATCGTATCGACCGGGATTTCGTTCACGATGGGTACAGGCGACTCCACTTTCAATTAATCAGTAGGCAAAATTATACAGCAGTGGAAACGTTTGGAAGTTTATGTGATCATTATAATTCAGTCAAAATCAGGTTTTCCCCTTCCACGTGACGATGTGAGTAACCTCATCCGACTTTCCTACGGAGATTTCGCCTTGTTTAAATGAAGCCAATCTATGCTTAAAAAAGCGGAAAGCACCCTTACTGAGGAACATCAGTAGTACACGAAACTACAGAGTTTGGAACCTGCGAACTACCAGCTAATTTGGACATTTAATATTGCAACCCCTATTGATTGATGAGTAATGTGATCAGCTTGCACTTGGACAGGATATTGCGCTGCTTATCCTTTCATCACGGATTCCACATCACGTGGTCACTTGTTGACTGGCTCCTCGAGTGACAACTTCGCATACGGAACTTTGATTTATCTTGTGCATTCATTCTTCCTCTGAACTGTGTATAGAAAAATGGGGAGATTGGGAAATTTCCATTCAGAATTCCCCCTCCAGTAAAACCAGTCTATGCAGTACAGCCATTTCATGCGGTGTGTACTACTGATGATTCCCAATAGGGATGAAATGACCATACAATAACGTAACGTAACGGATCAGCTGTAATACTCTTTCGGCGCCTAGCTGCCATACTACTTGAATAATGCAAGAGGGCCGAGATATTGCCAGGTTTCTCAAGCATTGACAGTAGCACTCAGGTGTCAGTGAGTCTGCACCTTAGCCATTGTACCTTGCCTCTCGAGTTTTCAGCATAGATTGGCTTCATTAACGTTGAAAATTTTTCAGATCTCCTGACAGCAAACATTTCTATTTTGCCATGATGAGTGGTTTCACAGGTGCTTTTCCCCGTGTGTTTGTTCGGATGGTACATCATCATCGTCATCATTGTCAGGTGTAATAACCGCGTACTTGTCTTACAGTGGCTGTAGCTGCCACAGTTTCGTTCACCGATGATTCGGGGGAGGGTAGGTAGCTGCGCATTGGAGGCGGGAGCTGATAAATTAGTGCGTAAATACAGCATTGTATGTGGACTGTCAAGGGGAATTGGGAAGCGAGCTATGCATTGAAGGCAATAGCTTGGATGCATGAGTTCCATTGAGAGCGCAACTGGGCCATTTCTGTCAATGTCTCTAACCATTGATGTGCCCCGTCTCGAGTTCCCCATCCACAAAGATGGCAATCACCAGCGCAGCTAAGTATACTGGTAATGGCTTTTATACTTCGCTGCCAAGTCATTATGTGACCATCCCTAGCTCCCTTCCACCCTTCACGTGGTTGTACGAAAAGATCCCTTCGAGGAAGTCGGTCGACTGGCATACGCAGCACGTGGCCAAGCCAGCGCAACCTATGCAGTGTGATCAGTTCATCTATGGAGAGTGAGTTATTTCCTCTGAATACCATTCGACGAAATTCAGCCTTGCTGATCCGGTGTTCCCACCAGATTCGGGCAGTGCTCCGAAGACATCGTTGGTCGAACTCTGAGTCTTTTGACGCCCTCGGCGCGCGGGTCAGGTTTCTGATCCGTATAGTAATATGGAGTGCACCGCAGCATTGTAGACTCGACCCTTGACGGAAAAGCTAATGTCACGCCTGCGCCACAGGTGACGCAGGTTCACAAAAGCTGCTCCGACCTTCCCAATCCGGATAAATATATAATCTTTCGTGAAACCACTGGGGCTGATACAGCTCCCCGGGTAAACACATTTGTCTACTACCTCAATCGGTTCATCCGCAAGCACGAGGCTAGGGTCGAGCCCACCTAGTCTTGCGGCAGCGCTTTACACTTTGCAGGTGTGAAGCGCATATCGAACCGTGAGTCAGAATTACTTAGATTAATTTAATATTTTCGCATCACCACGGGGTCAGATCCCAGAAGAGCTCTGTCGGATGATACTCTCACTATCCAACGCAAAAATCTTTCAGTAAAATGTGATACTGTGTATAAGTGGACCTAAGGCACAGTTCATGAAGTGCAAAAATGCGGTGTTTTGTTCTCAGGAGCCCAGGCCAGCTATATCATTTAGTTCTATTTGGTCAGGAGGGAGTTATTAGTCAACCTAGTCAGTGCTTCTACTTGGTGACGCAAGGAGAGTGGACTTAACTTTATTGCGATCACTTCAGCTGTTGTTAATGGATTTTGGTAAAGGACGTTGGTACGCTCGAATGGCACTCAGCAAGTCATGGCGGATGATTCAGATAGATTTATTCGTTGAATCGAACTCGTCGGTTGAACACGGATCGCTCTAACCACGGTTCTTATTTTGTTGATTTCACCACTTACTGACAACTACTCAGGCATTTTGGGTGGTAAGCTTCGATTCCCACATGACTCGCTGCCCATCCGCAAAGAGCAGAATGAATAGCAGACTGGGAGTTGTGAATCGATGCAATCCATATCTTTGGTGTTCTTCCTAAGGAAGCAGACGCCGCCGAAGTGCATTCTAAGCTGTGAGGTACATAGTAGTGCTCTTGGAACTTCGGTTTTCGTCTGGACGTTTCTGGAACTCGTTGCCTTTATGGTGTCGGTTGATATACGTACTCCCGCCCTAATTCAAATCAATGTGTTGCGTAACTATTTCGACCCAATCTTATCACTCTACCTAAACTTCAAGTCGTTCTTAAAGGGTTGTCACTTTTTGGCCAGGACAGGTAACTTCTATTACATACCTTTTCTGACGCACCCTGGTTACAATCGGTTTTAAGGTTTTTAGTGTGTTTTGACAGATGCAGTTTGAACGGTTGGACGACACTCGATTGGTCATGCTGGACGAGTATTCCGAGGTGACTTAACGATCCGTACTGATTAGAGGGTTTACGATCGCACTGGTCACTTACCTCGCCACTGAATTTCCGGTACATCCTAGTAAATCTTTGGGACTGAGGCCTAATCACACAGCTTTCTTCCTTCCCAAACTGTCGATCTACTTCCGTTGTTTCCGAGGCATTTCCAATAGTGTCCAACTGAAGCCGGTATCTGCCGTAAACTGTGCAAACGCAGCTGTTCAGCGGGTCTCATTATATAACTTCAGGAATGTCACGCTTCAGTGCTGGTTTTCCAGATCATCAGATCATTCAACCTCTCGCACCACCCTGTAACTACTGCAACTGTCACACCAAACGAATGGACCCATGCCTTTCTCAACGGTTTGTGAATATTTGCCAGAAAATGAACGGCCGACGCAGCAACCTATCTTCAAATATACTGACGGAAACTTGTACTGTGTTGCCGGTCATAAAGTTAAGTCCGTAATTGGATATACCTCACTTTTGGGCAGTCAAAGGCGGAAACTCTTGGCCTTCTGTGAGACGGTGCCGATCAAAGCGCACCCACCAGAACTATATTCGCGCGGACTATTGGCTGAAGCTGTCCGAGTACCCTGGAATTAGAGCCACCCGACAAACTGTGATAGATATTTGTTATTATACTCCTCAACCCTTAGTTTCGGATTGTCTCGTGTTTCCGACTAGTGGATGTAAGAGAAACATTAAGGTCACACAACCTATCGCCTAGCTGCTCGCACAACTTTCAGATTCCGAAAAGGAGAAAACAGTTACGCAGTGCTCCTGCTATTCTTATCTTGTTCCCACTAACCGGATGTGATGAATTCCTGCAGATCGTGATCTCCATTTTTCCGCTTTTTTTCTCGTCGATGCCTGTTGATGATACGACTTGAGTTTTTTGGAACACGCATCGAAATATTTGCTTCTGCTTTGTGTAAGTAAATTGCTTTAGGGTTTTCACAGATATAAACAAAATAATATAAACAGTGAGTGAAATCTGTCAATCGTATATAATCTTTCGTGAAACCACTGGGGCTGATACAGCTCCCCGGGTAAACACATTTGTCTACTACCTCAATCGGTTCATCCGCAAGCACGAGGCTAGGGTCGAGCCCACCTAGTCTTGCGGCAGCGCTTTACACTTTGCAGGTGTGAAGCGCATATCGAACCGTGAGTCAGAATTACTTAGATTATTTAATATTGTTCGCATCACCACGGGGTCAGATCCCAGAAGAGCTCTGTCGGATGATACTCTCACTATCCAACGCAAAAATCTTTCAGTAACATGTGATACTGTGTATAAGTGGACCTAAGGCACAGTTCATGAAGTGCAAAAATGCGGTGTTTTGTTCTCAGGAGCCCAGGCCAGCTATATCATTTAGTTCTATTTGGTCAGGAGGGAGTTATTAGTCAACCTAGTCAGTGCTTCTACTTGGTGACGCAAGGAGAGTGGACTTAACTTTATTGCGATCACTTCAGCTGTTGTTAATGGATTTTGGTAAAGGACGTTGGTACGCTCGAATGGCACTCAGCAAGTCATGGCGGATGATTCAGATAGATTTATTCGTTGAATCGAACTCGTCGGTTGAACACGGATCGCTCTAACCACGGTTCTTATTTTGTTGATTTCACCACTTACTGACAACTACTCAGGCATTTTGGGTGGTAAGCTTCGATTCCCACATGACTCGCTGCCCATCCGCAAAGAGCAGAATGAATAGCAGACTGGGAGTTGTGAATCGATGCAATCCATATCTTTGGTGTTCTTCCTAAGGAAGCAGACGCCGCCGAAGTGCATTCTAAGCTGTGAGGTACATAGTAGTGCTCTTGGAACTTCGGTTTTCGTCTGGACGTTTCTGGAACTCGTTGCCTTTATGGTGTCGGTTGATATACGTACTCCCGCCCTAATTCAAATCAATGTGTTGCGTAACTATTTCGACCCAATCTTATCACTCTACCTAAACTTCAAGTCGTTCTTAAAGGGTTGTCACTTTTTGGCCAGGACAGGTAACTTCTATTACATACCTTTTCTGACGCACCCTGGTTACAATCGGTTTTAAGGTTTTTAGTGTGTTTTGACAGATGCAGTTTGAACGGTTGGACGACACTCGATTGGTCATGCTGGACGAGTATTCCGAGGTGACTTAACGATCCGTACTGATTAGAGGGTTTACGATCGCACTGGTCACTTACCTCGCCACTGAATTTCCGGTACATCCTAGTAAATCTTTGGGACTGAGGCCTAATCACACAGCTTTCTTCCTTCCCAAACTGTCGATCTACTTCCGTTGTTTCCGAGGCATTTCCAATAGTGTCCAACTGAAGCCGGTATCTGCCGTAAACTGTGCAAACGCAGCTGTTCAGCGGGTCTCATTATATAACTTCAGGAATGTCACGCTTCAGTGCTGGTTTTCCAGATCATCAGATCATTCAACCTCTCGCACCACCCTGTAACTACTGCAACTGTCACACCAAACGAATGGACCCATGCCTTTCTCAACGGTTTGTGAATATTTGCCAGAAAATGAACGGCCGACGCAGCAACCTATCTTCAAATATACTGACGGAAACTTGTACTGTGTTGCCGGTCATAAAGTTAAGTCCGTAATTGGATATACCTCACTTTTGGGCAGTCAAAGGCGGAAACTCTTGGCCTTCTGTGAGACGGTGCCGATCAAAGCGCACCCACCAGAACTGTATTCGCGCGGACTATTGGCTGAAGCTGTCCGAGTACCCTGGAATTAGAGCCACCCGACAAACTGTGATAGATATTTGTTATTATACTCCTCAACCCTTAGTTTCGGATTGTCTCGTGTTTCCGACTAGTGGATGTAAGAGAAACATTAAGGTCACACAACCTATCGCCTAGCTGCTCGCACAACTTTCAGATTCCGAAAAGGAGAAAACAGTTACGCAGTGCTCCTGCTATTCTTATCTTGTTCCCACTAACCGGATGTGATGAATTCCTGCAGATCGTGATCTCCATTTTTCCGCTTTTTTTCTCGTCGATGCCTGTTGATGATACGACTTGAGTTTTTTGGAACACGCATCGAAATATTTGCTTCTGCTTTGTGTAAGTAAATTGCTTTAGGGTTTTCACAGATATAAACAAAATAATATAAACAGTGAGTGAAATCTGTCAATCGGATATTTGTTTTACAAATTTGAGGGCCACTTGTTGTTCAGTATTAGGTTTGGAATTGGGAATTACAGGATAGAATTTGGGCCTCCGTTTGATTCCTTTCATAACAAGTGGTAGGCTCTCATAGTCGAATTACGCATATCCCAGCGTTTGGGAGCGCATACCGCCAGATAGCTTCAGGGTTATTTGGTGGCAGTTGGTAGATTGCACTATGCTATCCAGCCGGATTAATCAGATGCCTAGTGACGACCAAGTGGACTGCGAGGGCATCAGTTAACCCGTCTACAGTCCAGAGAAAGGCACCATGTCACAAGTCCCACCTTGTTTGTCCCCTATGAGAATTTTATCCTTCAGATGTTCATTGAGTGCCCAGCTGCTAATCAACTGCTACCTCCATTGTGCGACATCAAATGTTCTTTTGAAGATCTTGTGTGGCTCACACGTACTCATTTCATAAGCTCTGTTGGTTCCATGAAATAATCTAGTATAATTTTTTTCACCCAATTAGTGTCTTTTCATCAGTAATGCACCCGTTCATTTGTCTCAGCACAACTTAATCCAGTTAGCCATTCCGCACCAATGTTCTTGAGATGAGCTCTAGTTCCGCATCCTAGTTACCATCGGGCTAGATTCTACGAACTCTGTTGACCAGACACTAATTTATACGAATATTTCGTGCTGAGACCGTTTTTCCGCGTATTGTGTACCTGCCCGGTCCTACTTCTTTTCTGCAGATGTCTCGGGCTTGGTCGTCCATTTATTCTACAGATAGAAAATTATGACACTTCACTGAAGAAAGTCATCGAGAGATTTTCGAAATTCGGTGCAAAATCTCATACACCGCTTACAAATGACAGTTCAATCGACCTTTTGCTGATGGCTACCTTGGTTAATTCTCGAACTGGCGGACGTCTATTTGTCCGAGACCTGCAGGTTAGTCAATATGTTTCTTATCTGCTGTTGTATCACGGATTAGGTTGCATTTTCAAAACATTCATTTCATTCGTTACGTCTACTCTTCGGTCAAGTTTGCACGAGATCGTGAGTGATCATCTCCAATTCTCCGTTTCTGAATGGTAGGATTTCCACACGGTGGCACCCACTGAGACTGCTTTCGATTCTCGACGAGCCGTGACATGAAGAACCTATCAACATTTGTAAGCTCGTCACGATGCGTTCTGTATACGTCGTATCGAAATCTGTGGGGTCGGATGGAAAGGAATGCTCTGATGTGAGAGGAACTGAGCTAAGCGTGTCACTCGCGTTCCGCACAAGCGGTAATCGCCCCCGATGGTTAATACATTTGGGTTGCGTAACATAAGAAATACTGAGTGCCATCTATCTTTTAATTAATAGTCGTTAAATGTGTTGCAATAAACTGGCAAGCTCTACTCATTTCGTGGAACAGCTGTTTGCTGCCGCCTGTCGGTGAGTCTTGACACCAAACAGCTTGACAGGCTGAAGTCGGTTCAGTAGCCACTGTTGAGACTAATGTATCTGCCTACTGGTCTTTCCTGAATCGCCACCTCTGCTGTTTGTCATGCCTCTCCTCTGATTCTGTGATCTGTGATTGACATCGAGCCATTTCATGAAACGATTTGGTTGCCAGTTTGTTTAAAGGAGGTGATACACACAATCGACCAGAGTGTGCAATCATAATCTACTCCAGCAGCTGTAGCCACATCACCGCAGTTACTGTTTCCAACCCGAACCTACTTATTTGGTAGATGATAATCCACCTAAAACTTCCAAGTTCTCGTTAGAAATGACCGATTCGAATCGACTTTCGACGGTTCTGAGTAGAGGATTCTTTAAGTAAATGCGGTCCAGAAAGATACATGATCTCTTTGGGTTTTTTTTCACACCACGTACAATTTTGACTAGGTAAGCCTTTTAACAGACGTTTCATAACCATTCGCCCGCCTACCAGTCTTGAGCAGTCGAAGGTCCTTCGCGAGGATCGGTGAATAGCTAGGCAATCAGACTAATAATCTGTGACCAATTTACTCTTATCCAGCGGTGGAATAGACCAGGCATCACCGTCAAATATCGTATGTGAGTATGGGATTAGCTCTCATTTGATAAACTGATCAGTAATTGGAGTCAGCACTTGCCAGAGGAAGCCGGTTCACAAAAACGCTCTTGAATAATTACTAATCAATATATCCGGTTCCCCCGCTGGAAGAGACATCCTCCGAATCAGTTAACCATATATTTCCTTTCTTGGGAGATGTAATCAATAAAGCAGTACGAGCTCTCAGTTAACATTTAAGTGTACCTTGCAACCTGTTCTCCCCCGCTGCTCACATCCGACGGGAATCTCTCAGTCGTTCTTCTCTCTCTCTTGAACTGAGACTGCGATCACATCATATACGTCAGTGACTACTAGACCACCGACCGCAAAAAAATAATCGCGACCGACTCAACAGCTAAAGCGAGCATTAGCTAATCGAAATGGGTACCACATTTGAGCACAGTCCCATACTCCGGTAGTAATTGGTTGTTTTCAGGATAAATTGGAGTTGAAGCTCCGTGCGTGTGATTCGAATCCACTCCGTGGCTTTTTGCCTCCTTCCACCCTGGCTTGGTAGTTGGTTGACCCTCCTACCTTTTCGTGGTTGAATCTTTTCTATGCCTCGAAAGAGTACGATAGATGAACAACTTTCACTTGGCCTGTAGGTACTTTGAAAGCGATGATTTTTCAACACTTTAACCATGTAGGCTAATGTTGTTTCCGTGTGCCACAGGTTTGAGACCTAGAGTGAACGAGGCCGGTCGTGTTTGTTCGTGCTAAGTAACTACTAACATGCACGTATGACAGAAATTGTTCAATAAGGATGCCTCTTCAATTCTAAGTCATCCTTTGTCTAAACTAGTGTGCCGGGTACCCTCGAAGCTTCTCGTCAAGCGTGTCATCATAGTCCAATTTGGGTTCAACTAGAACATAAGGTTGATGGAAACTCGGGGACTGCGCCTACCTGATGAGCTCCTAGAAGGGCGAAACCGGTTGTGGGATGTCAAAGAGATTTCAGCGACCTTGTGAGTAGTTTACTTCATGTCATCACTTATTTGTAAAGCGAGGTGACCACCACCACCACTTTTAACGACATCACTGTTCATCATTTCAGATAGTGAATCCGACCGATGCCGCGCGTGCAATCAAGAATGGTGAACTTGAAAAATCCAAATGCTACCGAGCTGTTTGTTGGTGTGGGGCGGGTGGGTTAACTACAGACCTTGTGCATAGAAGGGCAAAACCGGTTGTGGGATGTCAAAGAGATTTCAGCGACCTTGTGAGTAGTTTACTTCATGTCATCACTTATTTGTAAAGCGAGGTGACCACCACCACCACTTTTAACGACATCACTGTTCATCATTTCAGATAGTGAATCCGACCGATGCCGCGCGTGCAATCAAGAATGGTGAACTTGAAAAATCCAAATGCTACCGAGCTGTTTGTTGGTGTGGGGCGGGTGGGTTAACTACAGACCTTGTGCAGTCCCTGGCCAGACAATGCCGTCAATTGAACTCCGATAGTCTACCACCTGAATCAACCATGCATACATACAGCTGGCCCCCAGCCGTTTTTGAAGGACCAATAGGCTATCTAGACTATGGCCCAATAACCATCTGTCAGCCGACTCCTATTCGTGTTCTGCATCGCCGGGCTGCGCTTGAACGAATGAGAGACGTGCATCTTTTGCGTTTGGCGGACTACCGTGCCTTAATCGAGGTTGCAGCTCCTGAGGTTTGTTCGTCTGTACTGTGCACATTTCACTCGTGATTTCTTACCTGATTGACTTATTTTTTATATCTTAACTCAAACCCTACCACTCTAGACCACCAACTCGTTGTGGTAAAGTGGATTCATCTTTCAAATTCTACTGTCCTTAGGTTGAGTTCATCCGAACCAATCGTCCAGTTGGACACCCAGAACAGAAATGGGTGAACATTAATGAACGTGGGTAACCAGGTGTACCCTGGCTGGCTGAGAGACTTTGAAAGCTTGATGGCATGCCGACAAAGGTTAACACTTTTCATTATGTGCCACCACGCACCAAATGTATATCTCAGAAACCTAGAGGGGACAGATCCCTCCGTATAGTTAACATTCCAGCGAGGAAAGTTCTGCCGGAAGGATGCTTGATGGTAATCACTTCATGCAGGGGATGATCTGGAAATGGCTGGACGAGGGCGAGGAAACACTCAACATAGCCTGCGCCTTTCGTTTCATAAGAAAGTCCAGAACTAGAGTGCCGAAAGTTGTTGATGGATCCGAAATCGAGTGTGGTCCCGTACTTTCTAGAACTCATAAACCACTTTCAGAACCTTTCAAAGGCACATGTCTCTTGAGTCTGGACGATAAAGAACGAATATGAGAGACCATTCAGCTGTTGAAACAAGGACCCGAGCAAGCGTAGACTGATTTCCATATTGTGGGTCATTGTTTCGCGTATTTAGAATAAAGAATCTTCAAAGTCCCGAGCAGATTAATATGACGCGTGGTTGATGGCATTTACTGCATATTGTTTGTCACCTAGGTAACTTGGAATTTCATATCCCTGGCTTTCATCGTGCTCGTTCGGTTAAAAAATGGAGTGGGTGGAAGAGCCATGGTCTGTTGTAGACTGGAGCTCCCGCCATGCAGTATGGTCCGGCTTACGCTAATGAATCATTGTCCCCATATCCGTTCCACGGCGTTGTGAAGGACCCACACTTCTGCTCATAATATATCAATGGCCTTCCTTGTAGCCTCAATTCATAGTCTGCCCTAGACCGATACGAGCTTCATTCCATGGTTCCTCGAGGTATTTCGGACGTTATCACATCTCCTTTCTGCCAGATTTCCATTTGATGATGGTCATCCGCCGAAGGTATGTTAGTTCTACCTACATTGAAGGCCGTCGCTGCATCATCCAGAATTATTGACCTGCCAATCTTACGTTGATTTTCGAGAGACTCTAGGGAAACTTATGAAAGCTACCGTGACGCTCTAGAAAGCGATGTTTATCGTCTTAAGTCCGACACAGATTACTCAGGCTTCACTTCTACATCACAAATCTGTTGACTCGCGAACATTAGTCTGATGCTATCAAGTATCTCATACTTTGCACTTTATGTTGATATCAGTGAAGGTATTGCACCAGTAGTAACTGCGTGAGTCCCACTCGTTACAGACGAATCTTTGGCTGCAGGTGGTGAACTTCCTGTGAGACCACTTCATACGTGTTTAAGACAACATCTCTTCTGAGACCTAATGTGCGTCCAACGGGGTACCTCAGGGTTCAGTTCCAGGTTCCGATTCTTTTTTGTTGATGATCTCATCATCATTGTCAGCTGTAATAACCGCGTACTCGTACAGTGGTTGTAGCTGCCATAGTTTCGTTCACCGATGATTTGGGGGAGGGGGGAGGTAGCCGCGCATTGGAGCCGGGACCTGATAAATTGGTGCATAAGTCCAGCACTTGCAGTGGGTTGTCAAGTGTGGGGGTTGGAAAAAGAGCTATGCATTGAAGGCATTAGCTTGGATGCACGAGCGTCATTGATGGTGCGCCTGAGCCATGTCTGACAATCTCTCTAGCCATTGGTGTGACCCGTCTCGTGGTCCCCATCCAGGAAGACGGCATTGAGCAGCGCAGCTGAGTTTGCTGGTAATGGCTTTCATACTTCGCTGCCAAGCCACTATTTGACCGCCTCTGCCTCTCTTCCACCCTTCACGTGGTTGTACGAAAAGAGCCCTTCGAGAAATTCGGTCGACTGGCATACGCAGCACGTGGCCAAGCCAGCGCAACCTATGCAGTGTGATCGGTTCATCTATTGAGGGTGAGTTATTTCTCCCGAATACCATTCGACGTACTTCAGGCTTGCTGATCCGGTATTCCCACCAGATTCGTGCAATGCCACGAAGACATCGATGGTCAAACACTGAAAGTATTTTGACGTCCTCAGAGCGCGGCGGCCAGGTTTCTGATCCATACAGTAATATGGAGCGCACCGCAGCATTGATAACTCGACCCTTGACAGATAGGCTGACGTCACGCCTACGCCACAGGTGACGTAGGTTCGCAAAAGCTGCTCTCACCTTCCCAATCCGGATGTAAACATCATCTTTCGTGAGACCACCGGGACCGACACAGTTGCCCAGGTAAACAAATTTGTCTTATTCATTAGGGTGCTTGATTCGCGCGGAACCAGTCATTCAACCAGCCCTAAAGTGCCAGCTGCCAGTGAATCTTTCCGAGTGTTCGGTCACGTCCTGGTCCTGTTCGGGCCCCACCAAGCCAGTTAGAATTTTCCTGTCACAGTGATATCTTGCTGTCCTGGTGATCTGTAACCTTAAACCTGCTTTTAATACTTCCAGGGAAGTTGCTTTGGTTTCACAACTAACTCGTTGTTTGCGGATGACGCCGGAAATCTTCATGCTCTCACTTACATCCTACTTTGGAAGAAGTGTGACATTCGTCAGCTCCACTTATAGAAGAGGAAGCTGATCGACTGGAGAAGGTACAGCATCGTGGATCCATGTCTGCCCTAGGATCTCCTAGGATCTCTCTCATCCACAAACCGCGAGTATTTATATCAAACTATCATCGTCGTTGCGACCATTTACTCTGAGTCCGGCAGGTTCTAAACGATGATTTGGGTGAGTAACAATATACATCCTCTACTGGCAACTGTGAAAGACCAAATGGGGATTATCGTCGGAAACCGAAGCGGCGGAGAAATAGCCTTCCATCAGCATTTCCAGCTCGTGTCATCCCGAATGGGGTGGTCTTTCTGCTGCAGTTGTTGGTGCTCATTCTGAGGCAAGTTGCGAAAAGATTCCAGATTCACACATGAATTCCAAACCTGGCACGGATATTGTGATACGACCACTTGATTATCCCGGACTTGCTGCAATACCCAACCTCCGCCTTCGTTTGCTGTTCTGGGCTTTGATGAAGCTGACAAGGGCTATCTCTCCCACTCTCTATATCTGCATGTCTGATTGCTTCGAGTTAAATCTCACAACTTGTTTCATGGTTTAAATTAGTAACACGTGGTGAGTACACCTCGGGGAACCGGGGGGAGTTTGAATTAGTCGAAGGAATGCATGGATCAATAACAAAATGAACACACGTGATTGCTTGATACACGGACTTGCATGTGGGTGGTCATTTAAGAGTTGCTGATCAGCATTGTGACTGATTTACAGTTGATACTCTGGTTTGGTTCATGGAAGAAGTGGGAAGCTTTCTCTTATCATACGATGCCCAGCCTGAGTGTCTTGGTGATGTACCACTGAGTCTTCATCACCAGAAGTTCAAATGGACTATACTGCACTTAGTTTTCTAATGAACCCTCCTCTACCTTCCTCATTAGCTCAGCTTTTTCGTTTGTTGTTTTTCTTTAACCAAATACCGCTATGTTCTACCGATTGCACCTTGAGGAAAGTAGTAGGAATCTCGTGACTTACCGAAGCTCGTTGACGCTCTCCGGTGACGCTTCCTATGTATGGTCGATCCCAGAAGACGTTCAGTTTCATTCACAAAGAAAACTGATTGTTCGGAGAACATGTGATAGTGATAGTCTGGGTCTGGGTTGGGAATTCCTGAATTGAGTCAAGACGTAGACCATCAAAAGCTGGATATCTTGTTTGTCTGTTTCCACAGTAACTTAATCTACACTCGTTAGATCCTGGCAGGTGTCGTATTTTCACTCAGCTTGAAGCATCAATGAAAGTTGTTCTGGTCATGGAGTCACTACCCATTTGTGGGTCCGACTCCACCCGTATGGGAGAACCACTCTATGGCAGTGGCCTGCCATTCTTTTTCCACAAGTGTCGGGATTTTTTTTTTGGATTTGTAGTTATGACCTTAGTTCTTTCACCCCCGATTTTTACACATAGCAATGAAACTCCCTTCAGCCGATTCAAGTAATAAGGTTGTCTGCGAAGGTTATGGGTATCCAGTGTTAATGTAATGCGTCGGTATTGCAGTCGCCGAAACTCTATCCTATACTCACGATCAGTATCCGTTAAACTGACTACGCTGATTGTTTAGATCACTTCCTGCCTTAATTTCCTCTTTAGTATGCCGACTACGAACAATGGTCCAGTCTCTACCCTGCTGAAGAACTGTTTATTCTTGAACTTCGATGCGACGCCGGTACTTACGTGAAGGAATTCGTTCACGGCGATCTGGGGCGTTCGCGTCCAAGTTTGGCTAGTCTCCTCGGACGTTCAGTCGACATACTTACCTTGGACGTCGTCGCGGTTGAGTTGGATTGGCCCACACGACTACCTGATCCGGATCTACCAACCGATTCCCCATGTTGACTTCTTTTTAGCCGGTGACTCTGTACAGTGCTGACTATTATTATCAGTTTTCATTCACTGACCTCACTGCTATACACCTGGTATATATACACATCTTGATCGCGGTTTTCTCTCTTCCCTATCTCGCGAAACCGCGTGGAGATACAAAAATGCGCCCTCATTTGGTGTGGCTTATTATTTCTTTTATTGAGTGATAATACGTGTTTCAAGGTCCTTTAGGTTTGGTGGATTTTTGAATGTCATGAGGATTATCACGTGGAGCCCGACGCATGCCACAGCTGCATTCCGTTTGTTAGGCACAGTGTAGATAGAAGTGCTCGACATGTATTCTAGACATTCCGGGGTTAAATAATCCGAATCGTAAGCTCTGAAAGCCCGTTCAATCAGTAGTACTTGCTGTCGCGCAAAATACTTTGGGACGTACTTAGTAGCTTTTAGTGGCATGATATCCTGTCAGTACTGACTACTTGTGTTACACGTAGAAGCTCAAGAGAAATCATTTCGGAAAAACAGCACTATCCGTTGTCTAAATTTCAGAGTTCTAAACAAAAGATTCCCTTAATTTATGAATCCATGGGGGTAATCAGCAGGCTGTGGTCCATATCGCAGTCCATTTCGGGAGCTGAAAGTGGACGGGAATTAGTATGTGTCGACTTCCCACGCGTCATGATGGCTTTTCGGACTTGAGCGTTTGATGATTCATGAATTTCCTAGAAAGCACCATCACTTTGCAATAGCGGAACGTTAAAATACGTTAAAAGTTTAATAAAACCGGTTCACATCAAGCCAACTGATGGTTACGTTAGCTGTGCTGACACATAGCGATGTATATTTGATTACCAGTGACGAGTTTTAAGTCTGAAACACAAATAATAACAGCATTAAAATCGACTTAATCGTTGCAACCATATTATCCTAGCACTTCCAAGCCCGCACATGGAAGCAAACTGTGCGGAACACACCAAGATAAATATTCATCTAAAGAGAACAGTCCGCAAAGTTTATGTCCCAAAGTTAGTTAGCCTTGATGGTCATTCCCTCCTAACACACCTTTTGTAAACATTATCCTGTCAGAATAACAAACAGGAATTTTTGACTAGCATTCAACACCGATCGAGTCTTCCGGTTATAAAAACACTCCTTCGCCAACCTTAACACCAGATTAGCTTCTCAGTTTGTTCGCTGGCTGTAACAAAGCGTTTGTGTCAAAAGTGAGGCGTTGTCTAGCAATTACTTCGTCGAACTGTTAACAATCCTCACCAAGAAACAGCATGGACTGTTCTCTCAAAAAGTCGGAACGTTCTTTAGGCACTTTGATGGTCTCGTTTGCGCTGATGCTTCTATCATCCGCACCATTACATTTCCGAAAAGTTGGTTGTCTGTCCACAATCTCGTATCTTAAATAAGTCTCTAGCATGGCTGGTTTGTGTACGGTTGAGTGGCTCACGTTCCATAGCTGTCATCGAAACTATGTTTTGTCACAAAAGTCAACTTTGGGAAGTGGGTACTACCGCTTGTCACCGATCTTTTCCGTCCGTGTCAGACCGCCTAAGTGGACCCACTGCGTGGCACCGATAGTACCACAAGCAGTATGTTCCGACTTGCGTGTACCTATTATTCGGTGTAGACCTGGGACGAGATTAGGCGGAAGGGTAGATCAGTCAATAGTTGTCAAATCAGATAGGGCCAGCGCTCAGCGCATGCGAGGGATAGTCTGATGACCTGCATCGATTTCGAAATGTATAAATGATCAGCGTGTACCACTAATCAGTCTGCCCTGTAAACCGCAGCAAACCTTACACTGTATGTTACGCTGGATCAATTACAGGCCCCAGTTCAACAACATGGCTTGCTCTTCGGTTTGAACGAAGACCGTCACTGATAGTCCAGACCCACATGGCATCCACCCGTCACTGCAGTAAGCCATGATTTGTTCTGCCTTTATCGCTACAGATGCCTAACATCAGCACAACTGATGCGAATATTTTTATCTTAAAGGTCAATGATTACCAATAGAGCCACTCTAACTCCCCAGAAGCCTTATTTATCTCTCCCCTTCACTCTCCACCCACTTTTTCTTATTTTCAAATAAGGTTTTCTGATCGCTCAATTTCAAACACATTTTGGTGTGGACTTTAAAAAATAAGGATCTTCCATTATGCTGCAGGAGAAACCCCTTTCCTTTCAGTTACTGCTGATCCACCAATTTCACAAATGCCACAATCCAAAACGCCGTCTCCATTCACAGGAGAAACCCCTTCCACACACCTTTCAAAGCTGAACCAAAACCGAATAAGACCCATGGTTTTCTGTGCTCATTCACTCCCAAACATTAAGCTTCAGGCACACTCCTCCGTTTAGGCAATCACTCCACACCTTTCCTGCCGCCCAAATCATGTTAACTGTTTCTGTAGACAACGTTGCAGTAACGACGTCCAGTGTGGTGTGTGCTAGAATCCATGGAATGCCACGGAATCCGAGGTACATGTTGAAGTCTACCCAAGAGTCTCCAAGACGATGTAACACGTTCACATCCTGGGTTGTACTGCATGTTTTGCACACAATTTGAGTGCTGTTTATAACTATCACACCAAGCTTTCGGCAAACCTCTACCGATACACCAAGTTGCACAGCCCATGTTTGAATCAAAGCTGTCGCTCCAAATGGAGCGGGTCACACCCACTACCAAAAGCCACTTCAACTTTCGTCCCACCTGCAGCGATGCATCTCCCACTAAAGCCCTCAGCGGCGCTTAAGCTTCCACCCCATGCATCGTGGTGCTTCATGTCTACTTAAAAATATATCAGTAAACGCATCGCGCAGATAACATCATTCAGTGTAAATTAACTTAATGGAGTTAATTCTCTGTTGTCTATATGGGATCATAAAGCAAGAATTTATCACCCAAATAGACATAATGAGGTGGGACAAAGATCAAGCTTAATAGCAGCTTAACTCACCTGATGCCATTTAGGGGGGAGCTAAGTTGCGTGCACACAACGGCAGTTTCGGTTACAAAACGGTAGCAGTTCTAAAAGTGATGAAATAATTAGAGCTGCATTCCGTGCAGAGCACTGCACTGGCTTCTATTATTGTCACGGCCATTTTGGCCTACCAATCTTTCACAAGGACGATTTAAAAGCAGTTTACATGTAATTTGCCTGTCATAACTTGCGCATACTCTTCCAAGCCGCTAACGACAAACAAAACGCGCGCACCATTTAGATGTAAGTTGCCCCCCATATTTACCAGAAGCCCCACGAGACAAGGGTTCTTCTGCAAAAGACAACCGCTACCGCAGCGTGAAAAACGTGCGATCAGTAACTGCGAGTACGTTGGCCCCTTTGGTGTAACGCAAAATATCCTGGAATGCATAACATTGAAATCCATTGAAAATCACCTCATCATCAACAACAGCTAACGTCTATGCAACACAGTCTCCTACTAGGCGATTCCGGCGTGTGTGTTATATGCTTTACTCACTGAAAGCCAAAGAAAGACGGAGGTAAAGAAATCACATCGATGGATGTTCCGGGCAAATTTAAAAAAACGGTTGAATGGATTTGGCAAATTTCACTAATCCACAGGCTGGGAGACCAAGGAAACCAACGGGAGGTTACGTTTTCTATGGATATGATCTGCACCGATATGCCTTTCTTCACCTAATCTCATCGTGGTTCTTCAAGCAGCCATACATGGAATGCCACGGAATCCGAGGTACATGTTGAAGTCTACCCAAGAGTCTCCAAGACGATGTAACACGTTCACATCCTGGGTTGTACTGCATGTTTTGCACACAATTTGAGTGCTGTTTATAACTATCACACCAAGCTTTCGGCAAACCTCTACCGATACACCAAGTTGCACAGCCCATGTTTGAATCAAAGCTGTCGCTCCAAATGGAGCGGGTCACACCCACTACCAAAAGCCACTTCAACTTTCGTCCCACCTGCAGCGATGCATCTCCCACTAAAGCCCTCAGCGGCGCTTAAGCTTCCACCCCATGCATCGTGGTGCTTCATGTCTACTTAAAAATATATCAGTAAACGCATCGCGCAGATAACATCATTCAGTGTAAATTAACTTAATGGAGTTAATTCTCTGTTGTCTATATGGGATCATAAAGCAAGAATTTATCACCCAAATAGACATAATGAGGTGGGACAAAGATCAAGCTTAATAGCAGCTTAACTCACCTGATGCCATTTAGGGGGGAGCTAAGTTGCGTGCACACAACGGCAGTTTCGGTTACAAAACGGTAGCAGTTCTTTAGGGAAAACTTCAGGAACTCCAGAGGATGAGGTAGATTGTAATGAATCACTGCATGTCAGAGATTCGATGACATTAGCTCACGGGTGCAGTCCTGCCAAAAATTCTGAGATGAGTCGCGCAAACACACAAGACAACGGCGAAGTGGCGAACAAACCGTATTTCGATCTAAAAGTGATGAAATAATTAGAGCTGCATTCCGTGCAGAGCACTGCACTGGCTTCTATTATTGTCACGGCCATTTTGGCCTACCAATCTTTCACAAGGACGATTTAAAAGCAGTTTACATGTAATTTGCCTGTCATAACTTGCGCATACTCTTCCAAGCCGCTAACGACAAACAAAACGCGCGCACCATTTAGATGTAAGTTGCCCCCCATATTTACCAGAAGCCCCACGAGACAAGGGTTCTTCTGCAAAAGACAACCGCTACCGCAGCGTGAAAAACGTGCGATCAGTAACTGCGAGTACGTTGGCCCCTTTGGTGTAACGCAAAATATCCTGGAATGCATAACATTGAAATCCATTGAAAATCACCTCATCATCAACAACAGCTAACGTCTATGCAACACAGTCTCCTACTAGGCGATTCCGGCGTGTGTGTTATATGCTTTACTCACTGAAAGCCAAAGAAAGACGGAGGTAAAGAAATCACATCGATGGATGTTCCGGGCAAATTTAAAAAAACGGTTGAATGGATTTGGCAAATTTCACTAATCCACAGGCTGGGA